GCTCGAATGTTAGTAACAAGAAAATCGATAAATTTACAAAAAATAAGTTTGTGTTTGCGTGCGGTAGAGGCATAGCAGTCGAGATTGTAAAAATTGATGTCCGGCATTTAGCCACAAAAGAATTTGATTCGTTCGCTGCCTTTATCTTGGCAGGTATTCAGCCGTTAACAAGTGTCCCCAGTTCTCCATAAAGAGTGAAATTAATGCGTGGTCCAGGCCCGTTAATGTCCTCTAATCTGATGCGCCCGGCAGTAAACCGTTTGCGGAATCCGGCGACTATTAATTCCAAAGGCCTGATCGTATATTACATGCCGCACAATGAGCGCTAAATTTCGCTAAAATTAATTTTTGCATTGTGATATCGTGTTGTTTATTTTTCTTTTCCATCATATTACGATCCTGCGATATTTAAATAATTGTACCTACCTTCTTATACTAGATTTACTTAATGCATTAATGTTTCTGATAAGTTTACGAGCCGCTCCTAAATTAGATATATGCTAATTAAATAATGTTGATATTTGAGTTTTGGTATTATAGTTGTGTAGTTGAATAAGATGCCAAGTCTTAGAAAATAACTTATTTCATTATATTTACATAGGCGCTTGTTGCAGATGCGCTTATTACCGGAACGCCTTTTGACCCCTTCTTCATCTGCCAAAGACTGGTTGACGGTGTAATTACGCAACCCGCGAAATTAGTTACAATAAGCAATTATCTATCCGAACGGTTCCGTTAATGAGAACACCATAAAACAATGTTTATTTACCGTAAAATTTTACGTACTCAATCATCGGCTCGAACTTAAACAATTCCATGTGTTCGAGCGGATTTATTGGCCGCTTTGTTTCCCCTCGTGTTGCTTCTTTCAACGCGACCATTAACCGCTTGGAACAAACATCCTCTATTGAGAATTTTAGCGCCCGCCAAATAAATAAATCGCCATTGGTTGATAGCCAGATTTCCAAAACCAACGGCGATTAGAATGGAATACTTTCACCGGTAATGAGTCCATTTACATGTGAAAAAAGCGGCGCGTCATCGATCATTTCATCACTTACGCCTTGAATATCTCGAACTACAAAGGCTACTTAGGGCTTCCTGTATCCAATCTATTAATTGAAAAGCACTCATTTTTCAACCATTATGTTGTTTAAAAATAAATAACGAATGGAACAATACGAAAAAGATGACGCAAGACCAGTTGTCAGAAATCTCACCCAAGGCGAGCTCACCGGGCTTTTATTTCACGTGACTTGCACGTTTTTATACCGAACGAAAGATGCGTTTCCAATGAGCAACATACTCTCTACCTTCTATTACAATTATTCGCGTAAATAAGCAAACAATGCCATTTCGTATTCCCGCTTTGCGAATGCCGGAAACTCCGTCGGGTTTCAGCGCATATTAATGCAGGAGAGCACTACACGTAACCTAACATTTACATACCTAAACCTACCTATGTCAAAGTTATGTTTGTATAATGGATTGTTTCATATTCAGAATCAAATTATTCCTAGCGAAATGGAATAGTAACGCAGATACAGTGTTATTTCGTCCTTTGTGAGTCGAGAGAGTTACGGCTCCGGGCCGAAACCAAGCTCAGGAAATCAAACGAATTCAGCAGGATCGGATCTAATCCAATCGTTCATATCCTTCCCTAATCCAAATAAAAAACAACTCACAGATTCGATAACTTCAATTACAACAGTTACTCGTTATATTACAAATATTAAGGGTTGTGATGGAGAGGAAGCGTGTTGGTAATTTTCCTGCTGGGATATTAAGAGAGTACGGATCTGCGTTCGTCTGCGTTTGAAACCTGACAATTCCTAATCCCACATGCTGTTCCGATTTCTGCAAACAAACATCATAATTGCGTTCGCCAAATAGGTAGAAATCTCCATTAATTTGTGAAAGAACAATCATTTCTAATCACGCCGGTTGAATGCAAGGATGCCGGCCGAAGAAATACGGTCACCGTACGAGGGAAATATTATTAAATGCGCGATAATTGGGTCACAAATAAAATCCATTTCTTCTTGTAATCCACGTTAGAGAGAACCGGTATAATTAAATTCATTATCAATTGCGTTAACGAGAAAAAAGACGCGTATTTATACATTTACGAAGAACCAGCTATAATTCAACACGAATATTATAATACCGAAGAAATTATTAATGATTGTTCACATATAAGAGGTAGTTGAAGAAAAACACGCCGGTATAAATAACGGCCGTTTCTGACAAGAGGAATTTTAACGAAGCTGTTTCATAATTTGTCCTTATGACTGTCATTGTTCTCGATGGAATAGACGCTATTATTTTCTTACTCGGTATTTATTATGATCGTTCTTGCCGTTCGAGAAAAACGCTCCGCGAAAATTCCGGGAAAATTCTCCACCGGAGCTCCGTCGGTCCGTCATTATCTAATTTCACTTTTCGATTGAAGCGAACTCGAACCCGAAACTTTTGTTTGTAGAACACGATTGTGCGGCTCTTGCGAGGCTATTTATTCAAAGTAGCTTCCCCCTTGTCATTACGCTAAACACCGCCTTCCGGGGTTATTTGTAAACTTTAAAATAAATGTTTATTCGCGAATCAAGTACATCAAAGCAGCAAAAATAATTATTGTTGGGATTAATGTTTACTCGTAGGGCGAGCGTACGGCTTAGTAATCAATTAGAAAGCCGTAATTAATGTTATAGCGCAGGTTTTTCTGCGAATCGAAAGGGTTTGTTTAAAAGAGCAAGAATCGGATCTTTTAAAGTTAATTTGTTTCGCATTATAGCTAAGTAATAAGCATGAAAATGCGCCGATTAATATATATCTCTTGTGATGTTGGTAAAAAAAAACGAAGAAAAAGAAGCGATTCCAGACAGATGCATTAAGCTGGTCGCTGGTACTTTAATCTTTATTCGAATTCAGCACGGAGATTTCCAGCGCAGATAGTGCGACAATTATATAGAAAATGATTTGCAAGGAGCGAAAAAAGTGGCGACCGCGAAATTTATTGCAAATTGCTTCTATTGCGAATCCTTATCACCGGTTATCAAAGAATGGAAACGTCGATTCGGTTTGTTTTATCGATTGGAGCGTGTAATTAGACTAAATTACGCGAGATGGATTTATTATAATGTAAGTGGAAATGCAAATTTAAAAACTACTCGCTTTAAATCGTTCAATTTTTCATAAACTTGAGTAATTAATTGGTCAGATACACACACTTTCTCTCAGTATATGTATAGGTATAAATATTTTTTACCCATATCTATACAAATTCCCATTACTAGATAAATATTTGATAACAAAACTAATTCTAAATAGAAAAAAATATTCCTACGAATAACAAATTTCTCAATTAAAATTTTCGGTGTTAAAAATAACTATAAAATCTCCATAAAAAATGTTGTTATCAGTTCCAGCACTTATATCGATTTCCATAAAGTCGCAGCGTTTCCGAGATAAAGTGGAAACGTAAACGCTTTCATAAAAATCGTAATTATAGAATCGGTAATGGCCTAAACAAATAGTAACAGAGACTATATCGAGTGTCCGCGAGACGAGGCAGGTGTTTGGAGCGGGCATATCATTAACTTCCATAATTAATAATTTTCAACTTATCAATCAGATTTAAGATAAATTTGACAACTGGATACCCGGTTTAATTACAGGTCTCATCGTAATTGCTGATTATTATAATTGGTGATTATTGATTAATACTGATCTTGTGTGAAAGAATAGCTTCGGAATTTTCGTTTCTTTCACAACGTTATCGACATTTTCGTGTTCCCTCGGACCGTTCCATTATAATTATTATGAATAATATTGTTCGATTAAATAACGGTAGTTTATCTATCGTGAATATTAATTGATTTTTACGTTCGCCTAGAGCACAACATTATTTAATTAGGAAGATAATTGTATGTTCCAATACGACATTGTAACGAAGGTAAAAATCCGAAAATATCGTAAATAAAACTCTTGCAAAGCCTCAAACGTACGTTTTTATCGAGTCATCCGACGATCATTTACCATTTGATCAGTAATTTATTCGAGCCTCGACAATCGAACAATGGAAAAGAAGACCAGAAGGAGTTACACGAGTATTTGCCACGTAAAACGCGGTAGCCTACACCATCGGCTCCGTTTGTAGATGGTGAGTTCATTAGTTGATGCGGCCCCGAAGCTTTTATTGTACGGTAGTGCTCCACTTTATCAACATGTCACTCGGGAAGAATCAATTGCTCCGATATGAAGGTCCATTATGGTGCGGTATTCGATCCTGTTAAGTCCCGATACCAGTAACTTTCTACTAGAAATCGTAGAAGATTCGCTCCTTCGTGGTATCGTTTTAAAACAACCAATATTCCTATTGTATCAGCTCGTAGTAATATCTTCGGCTTGACAAATATTTCACGAATTTATTAACCGATATTCAATGCATACGGAGATGGGAATGACTCGAGAGAAACACTTATGCTATTAAAAGAATGTCAACTCGAATTATCTTAATGTATTGGGAAAAATTTTAAACCGGTTATCGGAACCGACATTCCCATTATGTTTTGGATTTTGAATTCCTTTTATTGAGCGATAAATTAAAATAATGGAGAAAGTGCCAGTACTCACTAACTGGTAAATGAATGAATACATTTCGGTTTATAGTCGGGTGTTTTGGGGCAATTTTTTACTCTACTAACATGTTTAATACTATCGATAAATTTCACAATATTTTCGAAGTATTGGTAGAAATAAAACAAATTAAATGAGAAAAAATTAATTTACTAATTAATACCCCGGACTATAAAATCTCCTGAAATTTCTTACAGTATTTAAATTATTTTAATGGGACTCGATATCGTTTTGCTGCTAATTCTCTTTCCGCTTTCGACATTAATTCTGTTAATAACCATTATTTGTCTTTGCATGCAAATTGACTGGAAAATATTGTTTGGACATTGTCATGTACTGTTACATTTTATTTTGATTGGTGCTGATGTAGGTATGCCAATAAGAAGAAGGAAATATCACTAATTATTAGTGGAATATAAATTTTATTTCTTCTTCTACAAATAATGAAAATATATTTAATTATTATTTACATTAATAATAGGTAATCTGAAAAGGTCGGAGAAATTTATGATGGGTTTGCAACATATGTCGCCTCCTGGGCAATATTTGTAACTGAAACAATCAAAAATTAACACTTAATAGAATAAATTTGGGTATTAGGAAATTTGTTTCTCACCTATAGATAGTTCCAATGCAAAAAGTGGTTCTGCAAACACATCCTTTACAGTCGCACAGGCCTATTCCAGTTCCGTTTGTTCCATATATTGCCTGCTCTTCAGGCGACAAAACTATACCTTTGCTCTGAGAACACAGGAATCCTAGCAGGACAATAATGAAACAAAATACTTTAAACTGTACCATCGTTACTCGTACTAATGGCTACATTACTCATTGAAGTCAAATAAATAGAAATGATAAGTAAATTATAATGTCTGTAGTCCTTGAAAATTACAATATTAACATTCAAATTATTACTCAGAAAACACAAATTCGGTTGATAAGTAGGCAGGCGTGACAAATTTTTAAAAAGGCGAAATAATAACAGGAATTAGCTGAGAATTCTTTGGCTAGAATCGACCGAACTGCCAGATATAATTTATGTAGTAATTAAATTATGTTTAATACGCGACACAAGCAATAATCATACGCCGTCTTGTCGACTGGTGAGTTCTTGTGCCTCCTCTAACATGATATGAATATAAATGATTTCGCAGCATCAACCGTTTTATAGAAATTTGTATACATTAATTGGGTATGTGCATAATAAAATAAAGTACATACGGCTAATTCTATATGAATTTAATGCGTTTCCATTAGCGTTTTCAAGATCGTTTGTAAATTAATAATAACAACAAGCATTTATACAATGACTATTTAAACAATAATAATTTATTCAACAGCAAGTAGGTACATATTTTGTAAATATAATCATGGAAAGGTCAATTACTCGTTATCTTTAACTCCAACTAATCAAGTTGTATAAGGATAGTATCTGTTTGCAGCAAAATTCTCCTGACGGGCAATACAGTCCTCTGAAAATAATAATAATTATTGAACATTTTAATTTTATTGTATAAATAATTAAAAATTAGCTTACCCTATTTGTCTTCCGACACAAACACTGGTGCAAGTGCATCCTTTGCATCTGCACCAAACAAGATCTGATGTGTTTACATTAGCGTTCGGATCTCCGACATTTATACCGAAAAATCCGGCTGTATTTGTAATAAAAATACATAAAATAAAGAAGTTAATCAGAAGGATTGTGTTAGCTCGTGAATTACTCATGGTTGGCGTTAAAATAATATCCAAAACCCCGTTCGATACATTTTTTAAAATATTTAGAAAATTTCGAAAGATAACTTATCGACTAATTATAGGATTTGTAATAGACGTAACTAGTCATAGATTTTTATTATTTATATATGAAAATCTAAGCGCGATTAAAGGAATTTGTGGAACGGAAGGTGCTAATTTATAATTTCGGTTTCATTAGCCCATCAAACGAACCGTGAAAAGTTTTAAATTTGCATCTTTTATTTGATTAAAGCGACATCACAAAAAACATGTTATTTTTGTTGTTTTTTTCACCCTAATTATTATAAACGCAGAAATACGTAGTTAAATAGAGATTAATTATTATTCAATTTGCTTTCGGAGCGTTCATACTTACCAAAAGATCTTCCTAACAAAGATCAGAAAATCCTCTTAGAACCACGAGCGCTCCATACTCAACACTCTTAAAACCTCCATCATATTAAGTTATTATGAAATCCTTTTGATATTCACAGACAACCCTCTAATTAGTCGAATTCGTCGTGAATACAACAGACACACGAATTCTCCAAATAGGCAGTCGCATTTTTAAGCCTCAACCTTCGGAAAATACTAAGTGTTAGCACAATAAAATATCGCCTCATCATTTCTTATTCGATTCCAGCGAGCCGGAGTAATGTAATTTTAAATATACAAGTAAATGTAATACAGCGAAAAAACGACGATAGGGGCTCGCGAAGATGCCAGTCCGCTGATGAATAACGGCTGAAATCAATCACCAGTCAACGTTGCTCTTACTTTTAGTCACGCTTACTTAAAACAGGTGTTGCAGCGCTCATCTAACAGGTTGGCCTCTTTTTAGTATACATAATACTGCAGGATTTCACTCGACTAGATCTTTCTGCAATCCCCGAAATACCACGGAATCGGAGAGCTTTAGAATTCAAGCTGGTCGGGTTAATTAAATGTAAAAGCTCGTCCGGCGTACGCGATAATGTCCGCTGCTCATGTTGCGCAAGCGATTGTCTATTAAATCATTTGAACAAAATGGAAATAAAATGCCCATATGATGACCGATGGTGGGAAAAACTGGTATGTAGCATTCTCAGTCTTCTAGACGAGCCTGGCAATGCGTACGCGAGCGGGTCGTATGTTAATGATTGAGGAAAAAAATCGGAGATGCGCGCTTATTCCACGTCAAATTTACTTACGAGCTAATTGATTTATGCTGTTAAGTTGGCATTAGGTAAGCGATTTAATTTACTGTCGAAAAACTAAGTAGAAACGGTTTCGGTCAGATGAAAATACCATTTAGTTTTTGATGTACATTATATAAACTCCTCCAAATCAGTAACTTATTAATTGTTTGTTACAGGATAATTTCTCATCATTTGAGAATTATTTGTATATATCCCATTCGAGCTCGAGTTGCAATAAATAATAGATTTAATTCGAACGAGCGTTTTTCCGGATGACGAAATAAATCAAAAGACACAACACTTGGACCCTTCGAATATTAAATGCGAATCAAAGCATTATTAGATGTACAAAGTAATCAAGGCTACGCTTTGGCGACATTTGCGGTTCGAATCCAGTATCGCATCGAGGGTAAATTCCCCGAACAAACAACGAAATTACAAGAAAGTAAAATCAAAGGAATTGTGCGTTAAAGAGAAATAATTAGTTCGAATTTTCTTGTTGAAATAGTAATTTTCTGGTAGGCGGAATTGTTGCTTTACGCTGTTAGAAAGTACAACTCTGTGCGATAATTCATCAAAAAGATGATATACGAGTGCAGCAGCTAACATATGATGCTAATCGGCCTTGTAAAAGGGTTGAAGATATATTTTAATTACAAAAAAAAGCTGAATGGAATTCTAAAAATATCATCTTCTTGCTACAAACGTGATCTTGAGTCTATCAAAACTACTCATACGTTTATTAGTCTTACACTTTACACTTGAGAAATAATACGAATTTAAATTGGCTCTTCATTATGTACTAGTCAATATTTCAGTTAGTGTTTATAACACTTAAAATGCATTGTTTCCTCGAGAGCACGGTGACATAATAAACAAAATAAATCTGTCAAACTGGGCTTTTGTTTAACGAATTCCTTCATTAAGCCGTTCGCTAAGAGGCCATTATTATTCGGTTGTCTTTAAACTGTAAATAGCGTTTTCGAAAGTACATTGTACGTTGTCTAAATATACCAGTCACTGAAATATTTACTGTATTTACTAAAGTCGAAGTTAATTGTGTTCTAGACAGCTTGAGAAGTGTCGGAGCATAACAATAGACACGTTGTAAGAATTTAAGTATTTCGAAAAGGGAGACGCGAACAAGGTGTATTTTTAGAAGTATTAATTCGAGTTGGATGTCACTTTAAATGAAAAAGTACACATCAAGAGTAGGATGTTATTTTACGAAGCTTATAAATGTTTTCACGAACAATAAGTAGTACTTATCGGGAAAAAATAATGTTTAATTTGTGCTCCTGCGATTTGTGAAACGGGTACTTCACCTTTGGTTTTTCGTCGCTTCTGCGAGTTGGAATTTATTTGTTTTGTTTTTTTTGTTTCTCCTCGATCTCGAACAGTTTCATAAACTTGCTATACATTAATTGCATCAGGTGAATTTAGATACGCCGGGTGGTTCGATCAATTCGGATTTATTGCAACCGCCCGTTTTTCATTTTTATCTCCAACAATAACGTGACCGAAGAAATTTCTCGCGGAGAATACCCGCGTTGTTTTATGGCCGCCTTTATAAAGTTTTATATTTCATTACGATAAATCAGTCGAACGTATTGTTTACAATATCCTCAAAATTCCAATTACACGAGTACCAAAGCAATTTTATTATTCACGGCAATTTTTGTCCTCGAGGAATAGCTTATACGTTTTAAGTGGAAAAAATCGTAGCAACACAAAAGTGATTTTAATAATTGTGTTATCATGCATAATATTATCATCTTGGCGAGATGCAAGCGGATCTGCCGTGAAATCGAGCGACGCGAAACTGGTTTAGCACATTTCAAAATAAGAATAAATACTTCATTAACAATGAATCTCGATCTATTAATTTACAGTTTTTTGCTTCGATTAAAAAATAAAGAAACGCTGAGTTATTAACATTCCCGGCCGGAATTTTATGATGTACTGTAATTTATGTTACCGAATGGCGACAATTTATATAATTTATTTAGAGCCTTTCACAATGGTTGCTCCTTTTTTTAATGGCGCAGCGATGAAGGATAGTTAAAAATTTAAATTTTATTACTGAAATTGTAAATTATTCGATTTATATGGTTCAGCAGAAGGATGTGGCGTATTCCATCGCAACAGTAGCAATAAAATAAAGATTTTTATTGCTTACATATTAACGGCACTTTCTATAGTCGCATTAAATAATCTAACAGGTTAAATAATTCGGCAATTTGATTTATACTAAACTATTAAACTATGCTATTATTCGATCGTATTCTCCTTTTAAAACCAAATTATTGCGCTGTTTATTGAATTCCAAAATAGTTGTTTTAATTCCGCGGAAATCAATGTTACAAGCATTAAGTGATATTATTAGGCTGATTTATGGGAATCAGATAAAATTCGGAATATAAATTATACCTACAATTAAAACCTATACTGTTATGGTTAAGAAATTCACTGTAAAATGTTTTATCTATTAACGCGCATTTTTATTAGTCTGTTAAAATACCGTGGTTTTATGGGAATACTGCATGGTTTTTGAGCGTCGTGTTGTAATATTCTGGGACACCCTGTATTTTTGATCCGCATATACGAAAGTGACGGATCCTCGGCCGCTTATTCATTTTCTCATGCCTGTGCGGAACTAATAAATACAAATGAGTTTCACCGATCCCTCTTTGTTCGGTTAAGCGGGCCCACCGAAAAGGGCTTTAGTTGTGTAAACAATTAAATGCAAGATGATTAATGGACTAAATTTTTTACCGATCTTCTACAATTAGCCGTACTTTTTGTAGTTTTTTTTTCACACAAATATGTTGTTGGAAAATGTACTCTCCCGAACAACAGATAAAATATATTTTGTTGCGTTCGAAAA